GATCAAAAGTATCTTTTTTTGATGATCAAAATAATTGATACCCAAAGAAAAGTATAGCAGTTTATAAATTATGAGCAAGTCCTTCTAATTGTTGTAGTAAGGTTGGATGTGGATGCGTAATTAAATGGCGCAGACGTTTACTATAATTTAAATATTGATTCAACTTTTTGACCAGAATTAAGTTTAATTAATTGACAATGAATAAAATGTTCTTCGTTCTGTAGACTTTCAATGAAAGCCCAACGGGTAGGATGCTGGCATTGAATGATGGAGTTAAGACGACGGTGCCAAGTTTCAGCTGAATTATTCGTGCACATGGAAAGATCAGTTGTTCGTTGATGCATATTCCAGAATTCAACTGAAAACATGGGTTTGCATCGTCCCTGTGACCGTTGTCTGCCTATATAAGTGTCTTCAAAGTAATCAAGTAGTGGATGAAGCATTGGTGGTGATGAATTATGAAGATCAGCAAAACCTTGACTAACATCTGCTGGTTGAAGAAATGCAAGAGCAGCAATTTTACTGACATTATGTGCGAATACAGGATCTTGTTCACAATTTGTTTTTAAACCCAATTCCTACAGAGAAGAAATGAAGTGTAAATATTTGAATTATCTATCAGACTTAATTACTCACTTGAACTTTACGTTGAATATTATTTTGTAAATGGAAAAAGCAACCCAACATTGTTGAAGGATTTGTTGTCGTTGTAAAACTACCTCCAAATGCATTAATGGCAGTTCTCTCAAAATCCATCATTATGGATTTGGGATTCCATAGCGGACAAAGTTCTGCTAATTCATTAATAAGACGTTGATATGTTTGCTGATTCTTATTTGGTAATACTGCAAATACAACTGGTATAACAGCGTTCCGATAGGCCACATGCATAGTATATAACTGTTAGAAAATCGTTGGTGTTACCTAAACGGCTTAATCCGTTTAAAAAGACTATATGTATGTACGTCCGTCACACTCACTGGTCACTGTATGTATGTACGTCCGTCACACTGTCACATGGCTATATGTGTGTACGTCCGTCACACTCACTGGTCACTGTATGTATGTACGTCCGTCACGCTGCCACATGACTATATGTATGTACGTCCGTCACACTCACTGGTCACTGTATGTATGTACGTCCGTCACACTGTCACATGACTATATGTATGTACGTCCGTCACACTCACTGGTTACTGTATGTATGTACGTCAGTCACACTGTCACATGACTATATGTATGTACGTCCGTCACACTCACTGGTCACTATATCTATGTACGTCCGTCACATGCGGACGCCGACATTTATTTCATATGACCCTAGACTTTCAGTCAAGGGAATATTTACATTTTTGTTGAATGTTCTTCCAGGCTAAAATGTTCTGGATATGTTGTATCATGCCAATATTTATGTCTTATGGCTATAAGATGGTGATTAAATCTATTTCTCAGAGTCGGACCTGTTGTACCGTCATATTGAGAATGGCATAATGTACATGTTATTAAATATGTTAAATTAGATGTATCACAATTAACTGAATATGGAATGTTATAAATCTGATTTGTTACAGTTGATATGAAAAAGTTCTGTTCTATAATATAATTACATGTTGTACATCGTGGATTTTTACAACGATAACATCCTAATGAATTTGTACCTGGTTCTGGAACTATATCAGCAAAAGAATGAGGATATCGAGATCTTGTTAGTAAATTACTAAGATTAGAACCACACCGATAAACAAAACGAAAGTTTTGAGGAATAGTCGTTGAAAAGTCATTTTCTAATAGTTGACGTATATTTGAAAGTTGTGAATGAAATGGAAGAATTTTATTTTTTCCCTTGACTGAAAGTCTAGGGTCATATGAAATAAATGTCGGCGTCGGCGTCGGCGTCCGCATGTGACGGACGTACATACATATAGTGACCAGTGAGTGTGACGGACGTACATATATATAGTGACCAGTCAGTGTGACGGACGTACATACACATAGTCATGTGGCAGTGTGACGGACGTACATACATATGATCATCGGGTAGTGTGACGGACGTACATACATATAGTGACCAGTAAGTGTGACGGACGTACATACATATAGTCATGTGGCCGTGTGACGGACGTACATACATATAGTCATGTGGCAGTGTGACGGACGTACAAAC